TCACCCAGGCAAGACTTTCATCCTGTTTTGCCTCTTCAACGACTTCATTGATGCCCAGACATCAGCCACGGCTACATATAAAGAATCAGTTCAGCTGATCCCTGTGTACCTTCCCAGTCCTTCTACCTCAATATTGATTATTCGATCCGCTGACATCGAACACCAGTTGGTCCGCGTTTCATTGAGTCAACGTCGAGGTAAGACGCCATCTCCTGCCACCTGACCCTCAACATATGCGTCATCAAGCGTTGCCATGCTCTTTCCTCGCGTTTTCATTATGGCTCCTTCCATAAAGCTTAGTCTAACATTTCCTTCACCCACGCAGCGCGATCGCATACACCATCGGGAATGTCTGACTCCATGGATACGGGCACTCTGCGAGCTGCCCTGCCCGAAGGCAGTGCCCAGCACCCTCAGGGCCGTTCCGAGCACGCAGAGAAATGGGCCAACCCGCTTCCGTACGATTACGAGGAGCTTGCTCAACAGGGTCCTGAGGTCCCGGTCAATTGGGAGAGCAATGCTCGTGTCTATGAGTTTGACATGGAGCAATTCGGCGACGTGGGACCTGAATTTCCCGAGCTCGAATTGCAACTCTTCGGCCCGCCCGCCGAGCGTGGTCTCAACAATACTGGAATCTCGTATGATCGGTACGCACGGACATGCTCTCATGTTCCTTGCTGCTCTTGCTAACAAACCCCAGAATCACCGAGATCGAGGTCCAGCAGCGCGGCGATGTGCGAATCGAGCCCATTAAAGACTTTGCCAGCGCAGGCTTGCACCCTACCATGCTCAAAAACGTCGAGATGTCGGGATACCGCGTTCCTACTCCCATTCAGCAGTACACCTTAGCTGCTGTTCGCAAAGGCTTGGATATTGTGGCCATCGCCCAAACTGGTCGGTGGCTTTGCCCGTGACCCTCTTCTGCTCACGATACTAACATCTCGATCAGGTTCTGGCAAAACTGCAGCCTATCTCGTTCCTGTCTTGGACAAGTTGATGGGCAAAGCCAAAAAGTTGGCGGCTCCTCGACCAAACCCAGCATCCTTTGTACCCGGCGTTTCGCAGCCCGTTCGTGCTGAGCCTCTTGTCATTGTCGTATGCCCAGCTCGTGAGCTGGCGGTCCAAATCTTCAACGAAGCTCGTAAGTTTTGTTACCGTACCATGCTTCGCCCTTGCGTCGCCTACGGTGGAGGCCCAATACGCGACCAGATTGAGCAGCTCGGCAAAGGCTGTGACATTCTCATTGCCACTCCTGGCCGTCTCTGTGATTTCATCGACCGCCCTCATGTGCTCACACTTCGTCGGGTCCGGTATATGATCATTGATGAGGCCGACGAGATGCTCCACGATGACTGGGGCCAAGATCTGAACACCATCATGTCTGGTGGCGGTACGTGTCCTTCCTCGCAGCGGTTGAAGCTTTACTGATTTGAAACTCTTCTTTCCAGAGCAGGAAGAGGGAAACGTCAAATATCTCCTCTTTTCTGCTACTTTCCCAAAGGACCTTCGGGACCTGGCTCGCAGCCATCTGGCTGCATCACACAGCCAGATCAACGTGGGGCGCATTGGCAGCACCCACGGGAATATCTTACAGCGGGTTGTGGAGGTCCTCCCCGAGACAAAAAGAACGGTTCTCAAGGAGGTCATTGAAGCTCTCGACCCCTGTCGAACAATCATATTCGTCAATTCGAAGCGAGTTGCCGATGAGCTTGACGACTTTCTGTTCAACTCAGGCTACCCGTGCACTTCTATGCACTCTGATCGCACCCAGCTCGAACGTGAGGGCGCCATGCGTGCGTTCCGCGCCGGAACCTCGCCTATTCTCGTCGCAACTGGTGTCATGGCCCGCGGCATTGATGTACGTAACGTCAACCACGTTATCAATTACGATCTTCCCTCTGTCGATCATGGTGGAATCGAGGAGTATGTCCACCGAATCGGTATGTCTAGATATCCGAACGATAGCCTGGCGCTTGCTAACCATCGCCCGTTCTCCCAGGTCGC